CATCACTGAACAAAACCACTAACCCAGGAACCTATCCTTCTATATGCATCCGAAGAGGTGGGCTGTAGTCCACAAAAGCTTATGCTCTAATAAATTTGTTAGTCTCTAAGGTGCCACAAGTAATAACTGTCAAGACGATAAAGCATGTGTACTCTTTCATCAGAGACATAAGGGGCAATAGCCTGTAGTTACGCTTCAAATAAATGTGTTGGTCTCTAAGGTGCCACAAGTACTCCTGTTCTTTTTGCGGAAACAGACTAACACGGCTGCTACTCTGAAACCCGTATCCTGAAGTTGTTACTCCCAATTAAGTCCTTTTGCTGCTTCTAATTAGAGCCTGTGAGGGGGCCAGCGAGAGAGGCTCCCCTCGCCCCCTTCTCCTCCATCTCCACCGCCAAGGCTCTGGCTATAGCGCTGTACCGGGTGCTAACACCGCACGAAAGGCAGGGCGCTGAGCAAGATGGGGCGCTGAGGGGCTGCCTATAAAGCGGGGAGGGCTGGTCCCTCCTCAGGGTGGGGTTGTGCACACGAGGCCCTAGGAGGGCGGGCGGAAACGGCGAAGCGCACTCAACCCCCCCGCCCCGAAGGATGCAGAAGAGCTGAGGAGGACCCAGCTCCGCCGAGGATTTGTTTTAGGCAGGGGGCGTGGAGCGGAAGAAAGAACGGGGGGGGCACCGCGCGCGCGCAAAGGATTCTTAGCCCGGGCCGCGAGCGAGCCCAGCGCTATCCCCAGGCCCTGAGCGAACGTTCTACGTCACACCCCGTGGGCGGGGCGCGAGCGTCTCGATTCCCGCGCCCCTAGACCCGGAAGAGTGGTTGATTCCCTTTCCGCTCCGTGCAGCTAAACTAACGCGTGCGCGTGTTCTCTCAGCACTCCAACGGCGGTTAGAAAAACGTCTAAGGAAGCGGCGCGCGCTGGCGGAGGGAGGGAGCTCACGGTCCCCGCTCCTCCTATCACGTGACGCTCGACCACTCCCTCCTCTCGTTGTGTCCGCGCGGCGTCGCACTCCGGGTATTTGAACCGCGCTTCCGCCATCTTTCCAGCGCCTAGTCACTGAGGGGAGCGACACCGAGAGACGTCTCGGGAAGGTAACGGGGCTAGGCCTCCCCCCATTGCCCGTAGGGATCGAGAGACGTGGGATGGGTTTAGGAAGGGATAGAGGGTGCGTGAGGGGGGTGGTAGTCGTCCGTCGGTGCCTAGGAATGGGGCTGGGGGAGAGGTGAGGCCTGGCTGGGGGCCGCTCCCGTCTCCTTTCTTTCGCGATGGGGCGTCTGGGCCCGTTGGCCACATAAGGAGCGGGACAGGCCTGGCTGGGGGAGCAGAGGGGGGCTGATGCGGCCTGGGTGCCCGCAGAGGGGGGAGGGGAAGTGGCGCGCGCTGCTCCGTCATCGTGGCGCGGGGAGGCCGCGGGGCCCGTTGGGGTGTGGGGGAGCGGGAGGCAGCCCGGGCCCCTCCGGATTCCCAGGCCCGGGCTGACCGGGAGATGGTCTCTTCTCAGCGGCGGGATGATGGCTCGGTGCGGAAGGAGGGAATTGAGCCGGACGCCCCCCCGGGGCGAGTCCAAGCTCGTCTTCCCCTTGGGGCGCCTGGCTGGCCCCGCGGTTCATTCCCCCCGCACCGGGCCTGGCGAAAGAGGGGTTCAGGTGGCTCCCTCTGTAGGGTCCAGGGGGGCGGGTGGGGAAGGGCGGCCGCCATTATCGCTCATTCTCCCGCCCCATGCGGCGCGGCGCTTCCTGTCCCGATGAATGGGGCCGGGACCACGCGGGGAGTTGGCGGGCTGGGAGGAGCCCGGGCCTCTGCGCCGGAGGCGGCTGGTGACCGCAGCGCAGAGCACGGCGCCCAACCCCCGCTGGCCGGGCCCTGCGCCGTCTGGCGTGCTGAGCTCTCATGCTGCCATTTCTCCCGCAGACCCAGCATGGCCGCCCAAGGAGAGCCCCAAGTGCAGTTTAAGGTAAGGAGCCGACGTTGCGCGGGCAGGTCTGACTCGCTGGGGCAACTTCATACGTGATTCCCGGCCGGCCGGCGTTAGCGCAGCCGCGGGTTTGGAGCGGAGGTTTTGATTCCACTTACCATTGTACAGTAAGTTTGCTCAGGTTAGGGCCTAGAGTGAATTTCTACTGCCATGCATGTTAGCTTCTATACCTAATTCGATTTGTAGTTTAATTAACTTTTTAAATCGTTGTGGTGCGCAACATAAAACCTACTCCGATTATGAATTAAAAGTACTTCCAAATGCTCCCTCTCCCTAGTTCCTTTGTCGCTTTTGCTTTGCGGTAGTCTCCTAATTTACCACTTCTTTCCTGTGTTGTGTGGAAAAGTCAGATACCAGAAAAAACTCATTTTAGGTAGGGTGCACTGTGTTACACACACTCTGACTCCTTGCTATAGCAGTCTTGGGTGTTTGTGTAAAATAGGAAGACAACCACAAATTATTTATCTGATGTCCTATTAAACACTGGAAGATAAATAGTTTTTTCTTTTCTAAAACTCAAATACTGTCATATTGCATGTTTCTTGGTTTGGACAATGCAAGTCAACTTCATACTGTGGCTCTCATGTGCTAGTCCAATGCTGTAGTGTTGATGGACAAGCACTGTAGTGGGTCTTGTTAACTGATTCAATTTTTTGAAAATTTGAGATGGTTCTATACAACATTCTAAAAAGAAGTGCTTTAAGAATTGGCACTTTCAGGCCAAATCTAGAATGTTCTTTTATCTGGATTTAATAATCTGTAACTGGTAGAACCAAATTTAACACTTTTTTTCTTTTAATTGAAAGCTGTGTGGTGTTTTGTATAAGGCAACTTGAAACTGTGGTAATGTCAAATAATGAAATATATAACAAGCTGGGCATTAACTGCTTTTAGGTAGTTTATAACTAAAAAACAAAACAATGTAATCTCCCTGCATGGAACAATTTATAGGATTGGTGTTTTAGTTAAAAATTACGTAAAAGTGACTTTAAAACGTGTTAGCTTAATTTGTTTTCTGAAATCTTTCAACAGCTTGTCTTGGTTGGTGATGGTGGTACTGGTAAAACAACATTTGTAAAACGTCATTTGACTGGTGAATTTGAGAAGAAGTATGTAGGTATGTTTAAACACTTGGAGATTCTAATACTAGTTTTAAATATTACATAAGCAGTTTCTAAATTTAACATTTTAATTGCAGCTACACTGGGTGTTGAAGTCCATCCTCTGGTGTTCCACACTAATAGAGGTCCAATTAAATTTAATGTATGGGACACGGCTGGTCAGGAGAAATTTGGTGGTCTGCGGGATGGTTACTATATTCAGGGTAAGTGTAAATTTTCTGTAGTTTTACAGTAACTCCCCTGTAACTTTACAGGGAGGGCTCAGTAATATGAAAATAGTTGTACTAAAAAAGAGCATCCCACCCTAAGCAAACTGTAGCCATGCCAGCATGAGGAAGTAGTAACACTATTCTGTATATTGTGTTTCGTAATAATCTATGGCACTCTCCAGTAAAGTTAAATGGCATAACAAACTAATCGAGAAATGGGTTGCCAGGCTTAAATTTCCCACCTAAAGAGAATCGGACACTGCATTAAACAGGAATATTTCCCTTTATATTTTTCTAAAGTAGCTATTCTTTATGTATTTGACTCAGTTAATTCTTTGCAGAACATCTCTAAAGAGTTTGTCCTCTTACCTGCCTTTAGAAATACGAGGAATGAAGTCTGGCCTCTTTGTTCTTTGAAAAGCTCCTTGGATTAGGGGGGGGAGACACAGGGTCATCCTGAGATATGTACTGTAAGCTCTCAAGTTGCTGAAGGCCTGGATAGGTTGTCTGAGACTGGTTTACACCTATTTGAATCATGTTTTTGAGAAATATTTGGGCAAATCAAACTTCTTGGGGAAGCCTCTGTGTGTATCCTATCCATGTGACACTCTGGTTTTCAATGGGACTACTTGCGTGAATAAAATTACTGGGTGCCTTAGGGTTTGTAGGATTGGGCCCTAAGATGTGAGCAGGCAAATGATCCTGGGCTGGTCTCAGGAACTCCTATATTCTTTTCTTATTGAGCAGAAGGTATCCTGACAGAATTATTAGGTGGAAAAGAAAAAGTGAAATACTCTTAAGGATAGAGTGGACTGAGGGTTGTGCTTACAGGAGGACCACCCATTCATATATCTTTTATCCAGCGCTAGTATAGGTTTAAAGAGAGAATTTAAGCTTTCATATTATTTATCTTTCAGCTCAGTGTGCCATCATAATGTTTGATGTAACATCAAGAGTTACATACAAGAATGTACCTAACTGGCATAGAGATCTGGTACGAGTATGTGAAAACATCCCTATAGTGTTGTGTGGCAACAAAGTGGATATTAAGGACAGAAAAGTCAAGGCAAAGTCAATTGTCTTCCACAGGAAGAAGAATCTTCAGGTATGATGGCTATCTGTTTTCAGAAATCTTATGTTTTGATTTTTAGTCTTATTGACCTAAACAGTACTATTGCGACCCTTTTATTCTGAAGGTAAAATGCAATGCTGAGCACTTACACATTTTTCATTACCATTGATAATTAACTACAAATGCAGTAAAACATCAAATCAGTTTTTTTCCATAAGAACAGAATTGAGGATCTTAACAGTTGACACAGATAGGAAGTTAAAGGTGTTGTATTCCCTTCATTAGGACTAATATTGACTTCTGCCAGAGATGTAAGACCCTGAACTCAGTCTTGATATCAAGCTCTTCATCATTTAAAGAAGTTAATAACAGAGTAAAAAGGGAACCCTAACATTCATTAGAATTTGATTAAAAATTCAGAGCAAGTGGGCCAAATGTGAACCTGTTCAGAATGGAGCTCTTTACAAAGTCTTGTGCACTTAAGAAAAATAAAAACAGATTCTTATTGGAATAAAAATCAAGGTTTAGGTCCAAAAATCTGATGCCTTGGTAGACAACTGAAATGTCTTAACTTGCTTTTTTGTTACGGGACTGTTTAGTGGCCTGTTTCTATCGTGTGCCAAACCACTTTAGCTTGGCAAAAATCACTGGGAGTAAAGCAGGTGAAGACCTTGCAGTTGAGACCCTGGTCAGAGCCAAACTTGGCAGTATAACAGGTCTGACTTTTGACAGTAGATGTGTCAACATAGTTCAGCTGTGTGAGAGTATGTATATATGACCATCCTCTCTTTTGCAGTACTATGATATCTCAGCTAAGAGTAACTACAACTTTGAGAAGCCCTTCCTCTGGCTTGCCAGGAAGCTAATTGGAGATCCCAACTTGGAGTTTGTTGCCATGCCTGCTCTTGCGCCCCCAGAGGTTGTTATGGACCCAGCATTGGCAGCACAGTATGAGCAAGACTTACAGGTAACTGCTCTGACAATGGTACAGAGTTCCAATGGTTGTCCATTTCTCTAACATTGATACCTGAGAAATCAACTGCTATAAGGAGTTCAAACTCTATAGCTAGTTGCTAAATATAATTTTATCTGTTTCAGATTGCTCAGACCACTGCCCTGCCAGATGAAGATGATGACCTGTAAGGGATGAAGCTGGAGCCCAGCGTCAGAAGTCTAGTTTTATAGGCAACTGTCCTGTGATGTCAGTGGTGCAGCGTGTTTGCCACTTTATTATCTAGCTGAGCAGAACATGTGCTTAATCTTTGGGATGCTGAGAGATGAATGGGCTTCGGAGTGAATGTGGCAGTTTAAAAAAAAAAAATTCATATTTTGGACCTGCATATCTAGCTGTTTTTTGGACTGCAATTACTTCCCCTTTGAGTTTCAAATCTAACTAAGACTGCTGCAGTCACATCACAGTATTCAGTGGTAAATCTTGTTTGTTACTGTCATTCCCATTCCTTTTTTGTTTAGATCATAATAAAGTTGTATTTCAAATATCTAAACAAGTGAACTTTCATGCATTGTTAGGAGTAAGTTGAATAATGTCTCCTATCCTTGAATAGATGCTAATATAGTATTGAATTTTAATTTGAATTTTTACACTTGTAATAGGTATGCAACAAGTAATAAATTAAAAGGTAATCTAGTAATCTTACAGGCTTCTTGAAGCCTATCTGATTTAAACACTGACTTTTAAAACCCAAAGTGTAACTTAATTAGAAAACACAAAAGCAGTGAACATCTGAGGGCTTGTCTACAGGTTAATGTAGTGCGTGCTGGGGGTGTGTGAGTAGTCTGCGTGGACCATGCTTGTGCACACTAAAAGTTCCTTGGTGCTTACTAGGTAGAAGCACACCAGGGAACTTTGAATGTGTTCAAGCATGGTTGACATGGGCTAACTACAGCATGTGTTAATATGTTTTTTAAAATCACCCCGTTGTGCAAGTTACCCTACCATGTAGACTGTCCCTGAAGGATTGGCAAGTGTAAATGGATTGAAACAAGTGTAAAATGCAGGTCTAAACCTGTTCTTAATGGCTGCATTTGAAATACAGATACTGACTGCTTGCAGGGATTCTTATTTTAGGAATACAGTACCAAGCTCAACCTCCATGCTACCTTTTAAAAAAAACCAATCTTCAGTTCTGGTTTGCAGTTTTTTAATCTATTAAAATGAACTTTGAAATTCAGAGGACTCCATACTATAGCAACCAGAAACTAGTCAGCAATAGGCCTGTTTATATTAAGTGATGTACAAATTATAGCAGAGCTAGTGTTCTGCTATAGTTAAGGCTGAGTGTTCCTCAGTGAATACAGTGAAATGGGCTCTTCGCTGAGCATTGTAACTCACTTTCCACTGAAGAGTTACAGTTAGTAAAACTTGAGTCTAATTCCATGCTTGACTGAACTACATAAGTCTTTACCAAACGGCACCAAGGTCTAAATTTGAAAATAGCTTATTTCAGCACAGATAGTGGAAAATGTCAACTTTAACACTAAATTTACTGGCACTTAAACCAGATGTACACACCAAAATGGAAGTTTTTAAGGGAAATAATTTTCAGTAGTGTTCAATTAAGTACATGAATCCGTCAGTTTTGTATTTTTGGTTTCTTAATAAAGTGAAGCATTTCATTTATTCCTCAACTTGCATGTTTATGTACGTAGTTATTACTGACAATATTTTTTTAAACTTGGATAATACCACCAACCTAAAGCACCCTTGTTACCAGCAACAAGTGGACTGCCATAGTCATTGTCACATTTCCTTCCAAAAACATTTAGACATGATTAGTCAGATTTTTAATTGTCTAGATTCACTTTGGAAACTAGTTTACAGATAGTTATGGCTTAATGGGAGGAACTGAAATGGTCCTTCAGGGGCAGGATTAATAGTAGCCTTTTCATTCTGCATTTGATCTTATCTACAGTCAAGACATCCAGGTTCTCTTCCCAAGCTTCAGCTGGACTGATCTTTTCACTAGCACAATCTGCTTGAATCAAACAGCCCCTGAACATAGGCTTCTGCTTCATGTATTCTGCCACTAAGGTTTAGGCTATGTCTACAGTTTGAGGTAGAGCTGTGATTTGATTCCTAATCTGAGGAAAAAACATGCTAGTTCTGAGCAGACTTGTACACTTGTCACAGCAGCATGAACAATGGAATTGGCTAGCTACATGAAATGTGCCTGTCAGAGACCCTCCCCCTGGACTTCAGACAACTAGCCCCTTGCACTGCTGTGGCTACTCCATTTAGCATGCTAGTTTAATCAGAGCTAGGGTGAGTATTTTGTCTTGAAGTGGCAATCACCTCCACAGCTGGGAATGTAGCTGTACCTTAAATTGATGGTCTCCAAGCTGGGGTGAGGCATGGAGGAACATTGAGGAGGGCAGGGCCCCAGCCACTCTGGCTCCAGCCCCAGCTGTGGCCCTGGTTTAACCTCAGCCCCCTCACCACAACCTAGCCCTGGCCCTTCTCATGGCTGTGGCCTCCGCCGCAGCTCCGGCTCCCTGGGGTGGTGGGGTGTGGACAGGTTACATTATGGCTAAGTGGGGACACAACATAAGTTTGGGGACCACTGCCTAAATGAACACTTGGCTAATGCTGCCAGGTTTAAACTCACCCACTTATTAGGTTCTACAACATAGATTTTTGCTTTTAAAGTTCAAGTAGCTATGTATTAGTTAGTTTGCAAGTTGGCCCTAGCTGCCTGCCCTTCCTGCCTATGTTTACCCTCCTCCCCCCCAAAATGGTTTCTTGTCACCACTTTCACCCCTTAATTGTTTTAGCAGGAGAAGCCCTAGTACCTCTGACTTTGTTTTGCATGTGTTGTGGCTTCTACAAAGTAGGGGAGTACAGCTACATTATTGTTTTATCTGATGTGCACATACTTTAAATATAAGATATCTAAAGGGTAAACAACTTCATGAAATCATGATTTTTTGTAAAATGCCATATGCTGAATCTTTCAGTTGTTGGATTTGACCTCTAGTGATCTTTCTATTTCCCCTCTCAAATCTATCAGTCTTCCTGGACCTTTTTACTGCAATATTATTTGGCCTAGTAGAGTAGGCTGGAATATTTTTTGAAGTCTCATTGCAGGTTTTTCAGGTGACTGGAGGATGGTGCTGTAGAATAGCAAAGTTATTCTATGTTTATAGGGCTGAGATCATGCTCTGTCCATGGCATTTCTAGGGTCTGTTAGACTAAGGACCTGAACTGATCCTGAATTGTCAATGAGGCCAATATCACACATTATCTTAGTGGGTACCTGCACAATTACAACTTTTGCCAGATTTTTTACATATACACTCTTGTGATTTGTAAGAAATAAGATTAGTTTTTGCTATGTTTCAGAACTAGTGTGTGTTAGAGGCCCACACTCTTGCTAAATTTAAAAGCATGATGAAATTTTCAAGTCTTGTAATGATGGCAGCGTGTATATGTTAAAAGGGCTTAACTGAGTTATGTTTTAGAGCTTCCAGTTGATAGTATTATTTGAATGTTTGCAAACATAAGAGAAAATTAGGTAGAACATTTCCTGATAATTCAAGACTATCTGCATAACCATGTCTTCTTTACATCATTTAAATCCACTCATCTCACCCTAAACTACAGTGGTGCTATCACCCCATAATATTCTATTCTGCCTGTATATAGTACCTTTTGTCCTAAAGTGATAAACTGTTGCAGAGGCAAATTAATTCTATTTATTTTCTTTGATTCTCCCCCCCCCCCAATGTTGATATTGCTTGTCCCTTAATAAATGGTCAGGAAAATTAAACTTTCCTTAAACTGTATGAATACCTCCACCTAGTGGTATGAGTTGTACATTAGAATACAGTACTTCACTTATTCCAAATGAATGCCTTAATCAGTTAGATCCAAACTTTGCACTTTTTGATATTCCACTTATATGGCTGCTGAATTTTCATATTAACTTGGGATACAAGTAGGGTCACTTCATATGCTGTCCTTTTCACATGATTTAAGTAGGCAAGTCTGCCTCTGTATGAGATTTACAGTATTTGAAATTTTGCAACCTGAACCCAAATATGTTCATTTTTTAAAAAATTTTATTTTGTCCTTGAGGTTCTGTATTTTTGTTCTAGCTTTCAAATCTAGAATGGGGTATTGGCAAATATACTATGTCTGGTAATGTGCTGAAGCTCCAGTATTTCAGATGCTAAATCTAATGGACATTATTGAAAATAAAACATGAAAATGAGGCAAAGATCCTGTACAAGATTTTTCCACTAAATTTGCTAATGATATTGAGCCATGTCCTGGACTATGCTAAGCATTCATTTTACCACTCCCATTGCCAAAGGAGACTGAAAGCTGCCCTTAGTGGACAGTTGAACATTTCCACAGGAAATCTATAACTGAGCACCGTATTGTATGCTATATTCACCCATTTTGGGCCAAAACATGTTTTTTGAAGCTCTGACCTTTGATCTTTTGTTACTAAAATGGGAGGTTGTAGGGCACAATTTGGACTGTCAGCTGCTTTATAAAAATACAGATGCTTAAATGAAAGCTGTATTTTATAAATTTCAAGTGCTTTGGGCCTGGGTTCTTCTGTAACAGTGTAACTTCATTGCAACAGTTGAGGTATTCCTATTTGAGCTAGAGTAATTTTTGGTGTATAAAGTTAAACTTGCATTTAAGTCAGTTTCTCTTTCTTGTCTGGTGTCCATAACTTAGTATGGAGAAACTGTATAGATTATATATAGTGGGTACCTGCACAATTACAACTTTTGTAAGAAATAGAATTAGTTTTTGCTGATGTTTCAGGCTTCACAGGATAACAAGCCTTGTGGATAGGGGTGTGTGTCATAAATATAAAGGGAAGGGTAACAACCTTTATGTATGCAGTAACATAAAATCCCTCCTGGCCAGAGGTACAGAATCACTTACCTGTAAGGGGTTAATCAGTTCAAGTAACCAAGTTGGCACCTGACCAGAAGGACCAATGGGGAAGGAAGATGCTTTCAAATGGGGGTGGAGAGAGACCAAGCAGGTAAACCAGCTCCTAACAAGATCCTGAAATGATACATCTAAAATTACAGAAATTGTAAGTAATAGCAAGGAAATGCGTTAGATTCTTTTGTTTTAGCTTGTGAATTTTCTTGCAGAAACTTAACTACTCTGCTCCCAGGCAGAGGAAAAAAGCTGCAGCTGCTCTTTAAAAGTGTCCTTTTAAAATCCTAAGGTCTGTACTTCTGGTTCAAAATGATCCCACTGTGCTGCCACCATGTCAGGGTTCCCTCCCCACTCTGAACTCTGGGGTACAGATGTGGCGACTTGCATGAAAGACCCCCTAAGCTTATATTTCACCAGCTTAGGTTACAAACTTCCCCAAGGCACAAATTCCTTTCCTTGTTCTTGGACAGTATTGCTGCCACCACCAAGTGATTTAAACAAACATACAGGGAGGGGCCACTTGGAGCCCTATTTCTCCCCCCACCCCACCCCAGATTTTAAAGTATCTTCTTTCCCTATTGGTTCTTCTGGTCAGGTGCTAACTAGGTTAATTGAATGATTAACCCCTTACAGGTAAGTGATTCTGTACCTGTGGCCAGGAGCGATTTTATGTTACTGCATACATAAAGGTTGTTATCCTTCCCTTTATATTTAGGACAGGGGGAAGTGGTAGATCTGGTATATCTTGATATTAGTAAGGCTTTTGATACTGTCCTGCATGACCTCCTAAACAAAGTGGAAGGGTATATTGAGTGGGGTCCTGCAGGGATCAATTCTAGGTCTCGTTCTGTTCAGTATCTTCATCAGTGATTTAGATAATGGCATAGAGAGTACACTTACAAAGTTTGTGGGCAATACCAAGTTGGGAGGGGTTGCAAGTGCTTTGGAAGATAGGATTAAAATTCTAAATGATCTGGAGAAATGGTCTGAAGTAAATAGGATGAAATTCAATAAGGACAAATTCAAAGTACTCCACTTAGGAAGGAACAATCAGTTGCACACAACAAAATGGGAAATGGCTGCCTAGGAAGGAGTACTGCAGAAACAGATCTGGGGGTTATAATGGATTACAAGCTAAATGTGAGTCAACCGTGTAATACTATTGGGGGGGGGAAGCAAACATCATTCTGGGATGTCAACAGGAATGTTGTAAGAAAGAAAAAAAGTATTTCTTCTACTCTGTGTTGCTAAGGCCTCGACTGGAGTATTGTGTCCTGCTCTGGATGCCACTTTTCAGGAAAGATGTGGACAAATTGGGGAAAGCCCAGGGAAGAGCAACACAAATTTTTAAAGGTCTATAACACATGACCTGTGAGGAAAGACTGAAAAAATGGGTTTGTTTAGGCTAGAGCAGAGAAGACAGGAGGGACATGCAGTGGCGGATTGGGGGACCCTAGAAAAATGGGCACCCCTGGTGTCCCACCCGGCTCTTCTCACTTGCCCAGCGCTCCTGCCGGGGAGCAGGGTCAGGGCATAGGGACATGGCCCACTCTGCCCACCCAGCGCTCCTGCCGAGGAGTGGGTGAAACACCCATGCCCCGACCCTGCTCCCCAGCAGGAGTGCCAGGCGGGTGGGGCAGAGCAAGCCCCTGCACCCCAACCTTGCTCCCTGACAGGAACACTGCGCAAGCAGGAGTGCCGGGGATGCAGGGGATGGGAT